GTATAGGTGAAAACAGTCTATGTCCAGACAATACCACACATTTGTCTGCTTATATCATCTTAATATTTTGGATTTCTAGTTACTTTAACAAGATATTAATTTGTTAACAGGAAATAGATTATAATTTTTTAAGAATTAAATGACCTAACCACATGAATTATAATTCCATTTCTGAGATGAAAATCATAAATGCATATTTGGAGGTCTTTTTTCAAATTTTAAAAAGTGCGGTTAAATTAACTCCCACAAATTTGAGATTATAAAAACAGAAATAATTGTCTCTTGGAATATTGTTTCAGAAATACTATAGATTTGAATAATATGACAGCATCTATTAGTTTTCTTCTTGATTTTTTAGGATAAATGTTTAGATCCAATGTATTGAAATACAGAAAAAATTACTTCACATGAGTTTTTTTCCCCTATTTACAGACATTATCACACTCTTTATATTACTTTATACCCTTGATATTATATCTGTGTAAATACAGTTAGTAGAGATGACAGATTACCAATTCTCAGGCCCTCATATAATTCTCTCATTAAACTTGATCTTAAAAAGCTGAAATTATTAGATTATAAAATTGAAAAAGATGACCAAATTTGCAAAACAGTGCATTTGGGCAAAGTCTTAGCAGTGCAAATATTATGACTTCTCAAATCAGGGAATTAAATACCTTTTCTGTAAACAGCTGTCTGAGGAATTGCAGTAATACATTGTTAATATGTGTTTATATAAGGTGAATATTTTAATAAGGTTTTAAGCTTTGAGAATACGGAAGCTGTGGTAACTTGCTATTGTACAGTGTGGTAAGACAAGATTATCTCCATATAAAAGATTCAAGAGATTTAATTAGAATATTTAAAAAATATTTTTGTATTTTATAGCATAGGCTTTGCTTTTTCTTGGTATAGTAAGTTCAATGCACATACTTCGGAATCAGTATTACTATAAGTGTATAGTTTCCTAGTGAAATTGTATTTCTTTTTGGCAGAATTTTACTACAGTGTTTTCTTAAACAAACTGAGCACATGAACTTTAATTTGTGTATGATTTTCAGAGGCTGATTGCTGCATAGCCATTTAAAAAATACAATGTGGGATATAGTGATGAAGAGAAGAAGGAAGAACAACTAAAAGGACCCTCCTTTGCCTCGATTTCCTTTACTCCCTTGGCAAAGAAAGTACAATAATTGAGAACTGACAGCTGGGTCGGCTTCAAACACACAATAGGTTCTATATTTAATGAAGTTGATAAAATGACACTGAACAGTTTCCAAGTGCCTGTTTTTTTAATGAAGAGCTCCACATCCTGGCTTATGTCTATCACTGATCAGTAATGAGTAAATGAGCTTCTCTAACCTCTGTGGAGTGCCAGTTATTAACTTAATGGTTTGTTTATGAAACAAAGCTGGGGTATTTATTCAACAGCAGCCATTTTAACATTTTTCTAATAGCTACTAAGTGAAATGCTGGGCCTAAGTTTGAGTTAAGTTTTTTTTGTTTAATGTACTGAGTCTCTAAGGGAGGAAGTTAAGGAAAGAAATATCTGGTAGGCAAGAACAGGATCACTACTGCCTATTAGCCAGAATTATGAGGGAATATCAGGGCTAGTTTGCCTTTGTTCATACTTTTTGATTAGAGGAATATTCTAAGAAGTAAAATGGCATTTTCTTTACCATTTCTAACATACTTAATATGTTTTAGGAAAGAAAATCCCTTTTTATATTAGAGAAGAACATTAGTAATGTGAATATAATTAGTAATGTGAATTAATATTTTTTGAGACCTTGAGCACTGGGCTAAACTGAAAAATACAGAGAAAACAAAGTATAGGCCTTGCTTTACAAAGCTAACAGCGATTTTATTTTATGATATTAATATGGAGCAGCAAGGAATAAAAAACAACATTTTATTAACTGTTGGATTGTATAGTACAGATTAGAAGTGGCTGTGAGTACAGAGAAAGGGGAAATCTATGAAGGCTTGAGCGTTCAAGGCATTAAGGCAGGGATTGGAACTTGACTTGAGCCTTGAAGTCTGTGTAGAACTTAAGGAAGAAGCAAGAGGAACCACATGAGCAAAGAGGAGCCATTGTGGCAGTGGCAATGGAAAGAAAGGAATCACTATGAGAATGTTTTCAAAGGAAAATAACAGAACTTAAGGACCCCCTCGTTACAAGCAAGTGAAAAAAAATAGAGAAAAGGTGCAAATATAAGACAAGTTTTAGGTTAAAAGAAGTTAAACATTTGCTATTGACAGAGATGAATTTGGAAAGGGGAACCGATTTCCAAGAAAAGATAACATTTAATTTTAGACAGGTTTCACTTAAGATGGCATTATTTTGTGGCAAGATATCCAAATAGAAATGTTCAGAATACAGTTAGAGGTAAGGGGCTAGAGCATGTTGAAAAATATATTACTAGAGATACAGATTTGATGGTCATCAACATAACAGTGATTGTCAAAGCTATCAAATACAAGTGAACTGTTATAATTCCATTAGAAAGAAAAGCAGAAAACTAAAAACTAAATTTTGCAAAGAGGCAAGAGTGTTAGGGCACAATGAAAGAATGGGAGTGTTAGGAAGGAAGTAACCCACAGTGTCACAGCTGCAGGTGAAGTCAAGGGAAAAAGTTCTGAGAAAAGGACATTGAATTTGTCAATAAATAAGACAAAATGAACCTGTCATTTTGCATACATTTATTGAATAATAGATTATTTTTAGCAAAATGACAGTATCAAAAATCAGGTTTCAAAACTTATTTAAAAAGGAGGGAACATTAAGGAAATGGAAACACCCAGCACTTTGGAAGGCCAAGCAAGAGGATTTCCTGAGCCCATGGGTTCGAGACCAACCTGGACAACATGGTGAAACCTCGTCTCTACAATAAAATTAAAAAAAAATTAGCCAGGTGTGGTAGTGTGCACCTGTAGTTCCGGCAACTTGGAAAGTTGAGGTGGAAGGATCACCAGAACCCAGCAGGGCAACGCCGCGGTGGCCGTGAGTGTGCTATTGTACTCCAGTCTGGGAAAGGGAGTTAGATTCCAACCCCTCCCCCCAAAATTAAAGCAAATGGAAGCAGTAGAAAATTTATTTGGTGATAAGTGCAAAGAAGGAATAGTAAAGCTAAAGATTTTTAAAATAAAAATGTTCTCTGTATTTCAAGAAATATGTCTGTCTGTACCAAATACGTAATTGATAACTAGTAGAGAAATGGCAGCTAGCAAAAGCTAAAATGGCTACAATATCTAATTTAATGTAGGAGCATGTTATTGACGTTGCATTTAAAAGACATTTAAGCCGGGCTTGGTGGCTCAGCCTGTAATCCCACGCCTTTGGGAGACTGAGGTGAGTGGATTGCCTGAGCCCACGGGTTCGAGACCCGCCTGGGCAGCGAGACCCCATCTCTACAATAAATCAAAAAATCGGCCAGGCATTGGTAGCACATGCCCGTAATTCCAGCTACTTGGAAGGCTGAGACGGAAGGCTGAGACGGAAGGATCGCCGGAGCCCAGCAGGTCGAGGCTGCGGTGGCCAGAAGCAGCCACTGCACTCCAGTCTGGGCGACAGAGTGAGACTCCAACTCAAAAAAAATAAAATAAAAATAGATAAATAAAAGACATTTAGACAAGTTGTAAGAATCGAACTCTAAAGTGTATCATGTCTACTTTCTAAAAATGAAAGCTGCTTCTATTTCTTTGTTATGCTATAAGAATTTATTCTTTGTGTAGTAATGAATTAAGTGACATCTTCTTGACTAGTGATAAACTCACTATTTAGCTAAATAATGATTTAAATGAATTTCTTGGACTATTTAGTATTTGTTGTGTTATTGATTAACACAACATATAATTGAAAATATATGTACAATACTAGAATGTCAAACTCTCAATCAGTGGATGAAAGTTACCATAAAATTCATGCACAGGGATGCCCTATCTTGTTTTAAATTTGGCTCTACTCCTGTATGTATGTACAGATTTAAAGAGAATGTGTGTTTGTATTATATTCTCATTACATGTTGTACTGACACCTAAACAGAAGTAATGAAGGATTTTTCTTTAATGTAGTTAAGGTCTTTTTACAATTGCTAATTAATTGCCTCAGCCATTGTAAAATATAGGATGTGTTTCAAAATGCATTTTTTTTTTTTTTGAGTTGGAGTCTCACTCTGTCGCCCAGACTGGAGTGCAGTGGCCGCTCCCGGCCACCGCAGCCTCGACCTGCTGGGCTCTAGCTATCCTTCCGCTTCAGCCTTCTAAGTAGTTGGAATTACAGGTATGCGCTACCATGCCCGGCTGATTTTTTTTTTTTTTTTTTTTATTGTAGAGATGAGGTCTCGCTGCCCAGGCAGGTCTCGAACCCGCGGGCTCAGGCAATCCACTCACCTCAGCCTCCCAAAGGCGTGGGATTACAGGCTTAGCCACCGAGCCCGGCTTCAAAATGCATTTTAAACATCCATAGTACAGTATCTTTAGGCACAGGTATCTTGCTCCTAGCTGCTAAGTATAGAGAGTTTTTTGTGCTTAAGATTGACTTGTGTCCTTGAAAATCAGCTATTAGCATAAATGATGCAAGGATAATATGATATTCTTGCATAAAGTTTTAATTATTTATCTATTTATTTATTTTAGATTCAAGCAGTATGTGTGCAGGTTTGTTACATAGGTATATTGTGTGCTAGTGAGGTTTGAACTTCTATTCAGCCCATCCCCTAGGTGGTGGACATGGTACCCAGTGGGTAGTTTTTCAACCCTTACCCTTCTCCTTTCCTCCCTCTCCCCTTGAGGAGTGCCACAGTGTCTGTTGTTCCCATCCTTGTGCCTATGTTTATTCAGTGTTTAGCTTCCACTCTTCAGTGTTTAGCTTATTTGTGTGGTATTCAATTTTCTGTTTCTGTGATAATTTGCTTAAGATGATGGTCTCTAGCTGCATCTGTGTTACTGCAGAGGACATGCTTGGGTAAAATATATTTTGTTCTACCTTTGTTTTTAAGGTTTGGCTTGAGCAACAAGTTTGATACTGAATTTCCCTCCATTCTAACAGGGAAGGTAAGTGAGACTTTGCTTTGAACTTTTCAATTTTAAAACATAGTTTTATGGCTTTTTCATTGTAAATGACAAATGCTTTGAATCATTGGTAATGAAGTCAAATAACAGGATACCTTCATACTTGGAAGCTGTGTTGGTAGTGACTGAAAGCTGTCTTCATGACTACTAACCTCTGACCAGTTATTTCTTCTATTGTCCATTAATGCCAGTCATTATTTATTTATCTGTTCAACTTTTCCAGTTTTTCATTTTTTCTCAGCACAGATAGCTGTAATTGTTTTCATTAGGTCAGTAATTTCCAATGTTTTAGTGTTGAAGTTTTTTTTTAACTGTGTCACTCTATTAATTTTTAAAGTGCCATATGGTATGATATGCTATACACACAAAAAATTGAACTTTTGGTTAAATATTTTTCTGACTTTCAGCTATTAATAGTTTTCATTTCTAAAACTGGACTCACTGTAATAAATTATTGCCTCTCTGTTCTCTGGTCCCTCTACATTCAGTAGTGTCATCTAGCAAATTCAAAGATTAGGATTAGAAACTATAAGTTTAAAGACCTAATGTACAGCATGATGACCATAGTTAATAATATTGAATTTTGCTCTTACCACAAAACAAAACAAAACAAAAAAGATGACTGTGCGAAGATGGATATGCTAATTTATTAGACTATAGTAGTTATTTCACTGTGTGTATGTGTATCAAAACACCGTGTTGTACACCTTAAATATATACAACTTTTAAAAAGAGCCTGTATTTGGAAAATCCTCTTACAACAGTCATACCAACTTTCTAGTCCCAAAAGAGAAGGATTTACCTAAGGCAAAGTTATTTGTGCCCTTCTGTTACTTGAGGAAATGTAGAAGAGAGAAGAACCATTAGACTACAGAATGCTCAATAATTTTCAAATGATTAATAGCTGGTTGCTTAGGTAGCTAATATGATAATTTGGGGTTAAAATAAGTTAACTTTTTGTATTGTGGAACCTGTAATTTAATTTCATCCTATTTAATTTTAGTACTAGAATAATGCTATTTGTCAGTATAAATTTGGGTCATGTTTTAAAATTATTACATTTTCTAAAGGGCTTTTTAGTGTAAATTTTTCTCATATTGCTAGTTAGAAAAGCAAAGTACAAATCAGTATGTATAGTATGTGTAAGAAATGGTAGAAATAAGCGCATAAATAATTGTATTTTTGCATGAAGAAAGTCTAGGAAGATATACATAATCACTAATAGAAGTGATTACCTTTGATGGGGAAGGGTATTGAAATGAGTGGAGACAAGAGTGAAGATGATGCTGCTTTCAGAATATCTTTTAGTATTAGTATTGTTTTCATTTTTGAACCATGTGACTGTATTACTTTTTGAACTTTACTTTTAATTTGCTCTCTCTTGTTCTGAACTCTTTGAGAATGGGATAAGATGCTTCCACTGATAATTGGATTCTTTTTGTCATGCATTTTCCAGCTGTTTATTCTCCTCACTTTTGGCCTAATTACAATTGTACTGTAATCTTCCCCCCAGCCTCCTTGGGGTGGGGGTAGATAGAAAAAGACAGCAGATCTATTTATTTTTTTAAGGAGTATCTCTGAAATCATGAGAACTTATGTTTAATGTAACTCTGAAATGTATGTTACACTTTAATTGCTTCATTTTTTTCCTGAAAACTGAGGACTAGCATCAGACAGCATAGTTAAACAAGCTTTGCAATCAGATCTGAGTTGGAATACAAGTTGTTACTTACTGGCTATGTAGCCTTGGGCAAGCCACTTCTCTGAGTCTCAGTTCTTATGTGAAAAATAGAGGTGATGCTGATTGTTTTAAGAGTTAAATCAGAGAGAATATATATAGAAATCCTAGTATATTTCGGGTACTTATTAACTTTCCAATGTTAGTTTTTGGGTGCTGTTGACCATTCTTCATCATTGTATCACAGTTTAATTTTGACTGTTTTTTCTATTTACTCACTGGCTTTTATTTTTAATTTCTTTTGTTACTTTTTCTTCATCTAAGTATTAATTTATTCTCTGGTCTCACCACTAATTTGTCCTATTAACTGTTGACCTTTACTGTCTCTCTTGAGGTATAATAACAAACCCTTCCAAGGATAATAAGCAGGTGATCATAATCCCTGGCTAAGTTAGCCTTAGAAAATATGTGGCCATTTAACTTTTCAGAACACAAAGAACCCTCTAGTGTGAGATTTTGGCCTCAATCTCTAATATGTTTTACCTTCCTGTCCTGATCACTTAGGATAACTCCCTAATTAAAGCAGATTTGTTTAATCATAATCATAAACATTTAATCATAAATTAATCATAAACATTTTCTCCCAATGAATAAAATAGCTATGGAAATATCTCTTGAATAATAATGTATTTGTAGAAAGATGGTAATTCGTGATCAAAAGTAAAGAAAATGTGAACTGTAAGGGCTCCAGTGGAAAAATTATTCTTTATGTTTTCCTTGACGCTGCTGCATGTGTTGTCTGGGCAATTACATCTAGCTTTAATATTAGCTTAGTTTTTTTTTAAAGTTTGAATTACAGGTCCAAGAAATCCCAAAAAATAATAACCTAAAGATATGTCAATGAATAGAGTTCCCAGGCATAAGAATTATCCATTTTTGAAACTGGCCAATTTTATGTGCTCAAATAATTTTCAGAATATCTTTTCATACCTTCTCATTTCTTTCCAAGTCTATTGAAACTAAAAATTCCACTGGCCCAAAAGATTGTCTACTTTTTAAAACTAGACGATTAAGAGTGGTAAGCTGGTTTTTGGTATGCATTCACACAACCTCAGTGATTTGGATATGAGGTGTTCATAAAGATATTCATTCTTTTCAAGTGATTGTTTTTGTAGCACATATTATAATGAAGTTTGAATATTTATTCAAATATGCATTATTTATAGTGTACAGAATTTCTTATGTGTTGAATAAGGCATAAATGATACCGTGATTTTTTTCTGAATGTGTATTTGATGATGAAAAAAACACTAAAAGGAATGTTGAAGGTCTGATTTTTAAAAGTAACATGTTAGTTTTATTTTTAACGAGATAATTTTTCTCTAGTGTGCATATTCATTTGTATAGGTTTCTCTAAATTATCAAAATGCTCCTCTGATAACTGGAGGGAAGAGGCAAAAAGAATTGCATGAATTTTTTTAAAAAGGAAAAAAGAAGCCTGAATTCCAGATTTAACTGCTCTTGTGTTAAAATAGTCAAAAATGAATAAATGCTAAAGTAGAAAAAAGTTTACTACAAAAATCGGTCTTCCAGCATAAGTGAGATTCTAAATAACTTTTATGCCTGCCTGAGCTAAGCAAAATTATAGAATGAATTTTGAAAACCTAAAAAGCCACTTCGACAAGCTCTGTGGCTCAGTATTAATTTTTTGCTTCTTATATGTGAATTCTTTCAATGCAGATAAAAAAATTATCTTTTATATTAAGTGCAGAAAAGATTGTTTTCCCTGTTTCACTAATGACCAGTCATCCTGTCATAATAAAACATATCATGCAGGTGTATACACAAAGATTCTGGTGACCAAAAAACAAAAGAATCACAGAACTTTAGAAAAGACAAAAAGCTTCTGGTTCTCAACTTGAAACAATTAAATCATGTTATAGGGAGATTAGTGTGCAGTGTTGTGAATCGAAAAAATCGACCTTTACTATTGTGATCCAGTAAGACAAATGATTGATAGTGTTGTGTTCTCCACAACTGAAGGAGACAAATCAGTCCTGGTAGGGTTTACTTAGATTTTCTTCTGTTTGCAGTCTCCTGCATCCTGTTATAAAATATTATAACCCTTTCCCCACCTTTATGATGTGGTTTTCATTTTTCTTTCATAGAGAGTTAAAAGGAATGAAATGTTTCTTTACAGCCTGCTGTTAGGCTATAAAGTAAGAGCCTAGAGATACTCAATTAATGGAAGTAAATGAGTAAGATGTTTTTAACTTTGATTCTACACAGTTAACTAAACATTTCTTTTACATTGTTTAAAATCAGGAGTTAAGCAGTTCTCATTTCCTGTGTCTTTGTCTCTGTTTTATGACTTTTACTGTTACTCAAATACAGATTTCTTTCAAAGACAATCCTGGCCTTTTAGAGTCAAAATGCAGACTTTAGTCTGTTTGAAATTCTGGTATAAGTTTTTTCTTTTCAAAATACTTGTCTTAAGACTTCAAAAACATTGAATTTTCATTTTTAGTAACTTGAATATTTTAGTTTTTGATGTGTCTGTGGTAAGAGAGTACAAACTGAGACTATTATGTATAAAAAAGTGGAAAATGTTGGTGGGGAAAAAAAGAAAAAATAGACACATTTTAGGAATATTTTTATTACATTTCCAGAAACATATTATAAGATAAATTTTATGACAAATTTTACATATCTTGGTATACAATTTATTTTATTCACAATGTTTGAAATAAAAAGCCTGTTTTCCTTTCCCTCTTGCCTTTTATTTTCTGGCTTTTTAAAAAATTATTTCTTTGTTGTATTTTCTGGATTTCATCTCCCTGAGACTTCTAACACTATTCATACTTGGTAGAAGTGGAACTTTGTTGTCTAAGGCTCCTTATAAATATTGTCTTTCTTTTGGACTGACTCATTTCTGCATTTAGCATCATCTTTTCATTTTTGTATCTGTATTTTTACTTACTTTAAAATAAAAATCTAAATTCTAATTGCAAGCACTAAAATTTGTAAATTAGCATTTACAAATTTAATAATTTATGATTTAAGATTTAATAATTTTATGATTTGTATGAGTTTATATCAAAATTTGCCATATTCAAAAATATGTTAACAATTCTGGATATACAATTGAAAGAGGGTTGATAGTAATGTAATATTACAGAGAAGAGGTATATATGTGTGGATTTTTTCTTACTTCTGTTTGGTAGTTCAGTGATTCCCTAGGAAAAAGAAGTTGAATATTGCTGTTTGGAGAGTTTAATCTTGGTACCTTGTATTTAGAAAGAACATCTTTATTTTTTTTCACTGAATGATTAGAGAACTGAAGAGCATTCAATATACATTCAAAATATAGCAGATTGTCCTTTTGTTTATGACATAATGTATAGCAAAACTATGAAGTATTATTAGTTACCTGGTTAAACCCTTTTTTCAGGTGAATCTTTATGCAAAAGAGAACTTTGCTTTTCTGTCTCCAAATCTACTCAGATATGATTCACACACTTCATTTTTCAAAGCATTCCAGTCAGGAGGTTCTTCCAAGGTTTAACTTCCATCACCTGTGAGGTATATAAAGCAAAGATTATTCTCATTTTATATATGGAAAACTGAAACTCAAAAAAATTAAATGATTTTGCTTAGGATTTTTCATAGCTAATAAGTAACTATAATCCAGATCTCTTGATTTATTGTGTAATGTGCTTAGCTTGTTAGTATTTTCTATTTTCAATTTTTTTTTTTTTTTGAGTCGGAGTCTCACTCTGTCACCCAGACTGGAGTGCAGTGGCCACTCCCGGCTCCCACAGCCTCGACCTGCTGGGCTCCGGCAATCCTTCCGCCTCAGCCTTCCAAGTAGCTGGAACTACAGGCGCGTGCTACCACGCCTGGCTAATTTTTTGATTTATTGTAGAGATGAGGTCTCACCAAGTTACGCAGGTGGGTCTTGAACCCACAGGCTCAGGCAATTATAAAACATGGTTCTCAGAACTTATTTTCATTTTTACCTCAAAAATTTTGTCATTAATTTAACTGGAATTCTTTGTATGCAGTGATTGTCTTGATGTCATATTGTTGACCGTCTAGATGGAGAATGAAATTAGTTTACTTGCCTTGTGTAAGCAAAGTTTTGAGCCTTAGCTTTCACAGCTGTTGTTGGTTAACATAGTAGAAAGAAAATCAGATTCATGGGCTAAGTAATTTATCTTATTGGGTGACATGAACAGTTCTAATAAAGCTTCTATACTTAATGTTTTAGTCATGATCCTGCTGAATTCTGTGGCCATGTACCTATAACATCTGCTAATAGGTATATGTTCTGTATTGTTGATTTTAAGACATCTCTATTAAAAGCCAAAAATTCTTCTAGTACAATTTTTTATTGAGAAGAGTAGCAAAATTCCAGATGTTTGATACCTAACATGTTAATGGGGTTTTAATTTCATAGCAGGTTACTTTTCTTAACAATTTCAAAATTTTTGCTTTTACAGTTAGATGCTGAAATTATTTTTATAAATTTTACAATCTGAAAGCTTCTAAATGAAAGGGGATCATTTTTGTAATCCAAAATGTGATTTTACTGAAAACAAACTATTTTTAATATACTTTTGAATTGTATAACCTTCAAGCAGAATTTCTGATATAAGTCTAATTTTCCTGGTCGTGCTTGTGCCTTTGAAATGACTTTATCATTGTTTACAAGCAGTCACTTTCAGGAATGAAGGCAGTAACTAGAAATATTTAATTTGTGTATTTAAAGACCTTAAACTTTCAAGACTTAACAGCAGTTATGCGTCTATTTTATGCTGAATAGTAACAGGCCATTTTGAATGTAATCATTAAGCAGTGTCTTTTGTTAGTATAACTATTCCCTGCAAGAAATGGCAAATGTTAAAATTATGCTGCAAATTTGCTAAGAAAAAAAGAACTTGAAAGTTGCTTTTACAAAGTAATCCAAGCGTATTGCCAAGGTTTAATCCTAATTACATTTTCTCTAGTAGTATTTGGATTTTTCTTGTATCCTGCTTCTAGTCTTACTCAACTTTTAGTCAGAATGACTGCAGACTATAAATAATATTGCCTTGATAATGAGTCATAGTAAGAAAATTTCTTGACAGTTACTCTTTTCCATCAATTTTAATGCAATAATTTTATTGTTTGTCATTTCAGAAGATTGTCTTTGAGTAATGTTCAAATATAATTTGTGAACTAATTCTGTGAACATGAAATTGTGTTGTTTTCCAATGTCATCTAAGAGTATGTGAAACATATTTATGGGGAGGATGTATATTTAGACATTTTAATTCCTTAAAGTATTTGTAATAAAACAAACATTTTCCTTAGGTTTAGAGATAAATAGTGAAAAACTGCCCACAGATTGTTAAAATTGTACCCTGTTGTAGGTGGCCCCAGAAGAATTTAAAACCAGCATTGGCCGTGTGAATGCATGCTTGAAAAAGGCTCTCCCAGTCAATGTGAAATGGCTGCTATGTGGTTGTCTCTGCTGCTGTTGCACGCTAGGTTGCAGCCTGTGGCCTGTTATTTGTCTCAACAAAAGAGTGAGTAGCCATTTTATTGTATAATAATAATGAGATGACATTTATTGAACACTTACTATGTGCCAGTACCTCTTTTTAAGTACTTTACATACTTTATTTAATTCTCATATCAATGCTATTCTTATTTTAGAAATAGGAAAATCAAGGACAAAGGGGTTATTTTTCCAACCTTTATAACACTTTATCACTTAATAAGAGTTCCCATTATTTTAAATAATGTGATGTAACTGTAGTACTTAAGTAATTATAAATATACATGAGCTACTTAATCTTTTGATAAGACATTAAGCTATGACTTAAGGTATTCCCAAATTGTAGATACATGAGAGAGATTTTCTGATCTGAAGAAAGGCACAAGTGAGAGTAACCTATAAAGTTTAGGAAGAAATCCTTAGTTTTGAACATGTTACAGTAATATTCTAGCATAGCATTACTAGTTATATCATATATTTAAGACTACTGTCTTAATCTTGTCTTCTTTAAAATTTCATTTTAGTTTTTAGAACTTTTTCCTCAAGTAGGAAGATATCTTTAAAATATTTTAATTGAAACCAGTGAGGAAAATTAATTCATTTTACCTAAAGTTCTTTTTGTATACCATATTAATGACTTTTTAAAAACTTTTAAATAGCAATTTGCCCACTAAATCAGATTCAAAATGATAGCACCTTGTAGTGGTACAATTTTTTCATTAAGGCCAAAAATATTCCAACGAAATACTCATTTTTTTCTTCCTCCATATTTTTCCTCCCCTTTTAAATGTCTACTTCAAAAAAGACAAATAATAAAATAAACCCTATAACTATCCCTTTTTTTTTTTTAAGTTGGGACCTCACTCTAATGCCCAGGCTAGAAAGTGCAATAGCACATTCACGGTTCACCACAGTCTTGACCTCCTGGACTCAGATAGTCTTTCTGCCTCAGCCACCCAAGTAACTGGCATGTTCCACCATGCCTGGCTAATTTTTTGGTTTTTTTTTTTTGTAGAGACAAGGTCTCCCTTTGTTGTCCAGGCCACTCTTGAACTCCTGGGCTTAAACAATCTTCCTTCCTTGGCCTCCCAAAGTGCTGGGATTACAGGCCTGAGTCACCATGCCTGACATATATGACTTTTTGAATGCAAAAGTTAAGCATTCTACCAGTTTTGTCGGTAACTACTAATAGGTCAGAGCTTTACTTTAAATAGAGCTTAGTTTATTGTTTGTCAAAGCATGTATAACATTTTCAAATGCCTTTTAATAAGTAAAGAAACGCTATGGCATAAATTGTCTAAGTTGTCGTATCTTTTAAAATTATAATAAATAACTCTTACCCTCCCCATTATTTTAAAAGCCTCAATATGAATTAATCATGATTTTGATTTCTCATCATGTAAATATAACCTGTCTCAATTACTTAAATAAATTTTTTGGTTTCAGTATTATCCAGGATCTACCTTTTTTTTCTGTTGACCTATTTACACTTTGTCTATTTGTTAATACCTCTACTAGGGGGCCTGAAATAATAAGAAGCAATTTTTTTCAATCATTTGATTTTACTATGAATGCTTTTATATTCAATGCAAAATAAAATAATGTTGATGCTGTGATCTCTCCCTGTCTGCCATTACTTCAGATAATTAAGAGTTCATACTGAATTAGATGTATTAGTGTATTCTAATTCACTAATCTCTCAATTTTTTTATTTTATTTTAAAGATGTGGGGTACAATTCAGGATTAGGTATACAAGTGGTCATCATACAGGTAAAGTTTGGGCCCCCCTTTGGTAATCTCTCAATTTAAAAAAGTTTATTCAATGGGATTTGCAAACTGTCATCCATGAGCCATATCCAGCCCACTCTGTTTTTGAACATTTGAATATTACCAAAATTTAAAAATTGGAATATTTAAAATAAAATTTGGAATATCTAGCCTCTCATAAAATCTAAAGATCTGGCAATATTGTACCCACATACCTGTATGTCATTAATTGGCTCTAGCTGAGTAGTGGCTACTTCCTTTGAATTAAACATGCAATCTCTGGTTCAACATAGAACCACTCTCTATTTACATTATCTGCCTTGCTCTGTTGGCATTATGGTTAACAGCTCAACACTATACTGGACAGTGAAGCATTAAGCACATGCTGGTAACCTTGTGCAAGTCATTATCCTTTCTGGAGCTTCAGTTTTCTCATCTATGAAATCAAGATACTACTACTTACTTTTAAAGCACATTTGATGATGAAGAGATTTAAAGCAACTCACAGCCTTTTTGTTTACATGGAGAAATAAAAAATAAAATATAATATTTTATGAATTTTTTTGCCTTTACTACTGCTTTCCTAATTTGTAAAATAAGTTGTGTAGGTTATAATAGTTTAATTAGAAGACTGATTATCAATCACATGGCCCAAACCCCTACTTTTACAGGTATAGAAACTGAGATTCAGAGCGATAAAGTGATTTTTCCAGGGTCAGAGTAAATAGCACAACCAGAAAAATAATCCTTGCTTTGTTTTGGGGGTTTTTTTGGTCTCTAAAACTGTATTCTCTTGACTACATCATACATCAAATTTACTATTTCTGAGATAAGAAATATTAGGATCATGTGGTGTGATAAACAGTTTGCCCACTGGGTTTTAATTCTTTAGCAGTAGTTGGAAAACTTTTTCTTAAAAATTGGGTATCTTAGGTTTTGTGGGCCAGAGGTCTCTGTTGCAACTACTTAACTGTGCCATTGTGTCATGTAAACAACCATAAGCAATATGAAAGTGAAAGAACATTGCTGTGTTCCCATAAAACTATTTACAAAAACAGGCAATGGGCCAGATTTGGCCTGTGGGCTATGGTTTGCCGTCTTTTTCTAGCCATCTCTAATCAGATATCTAGCTTTATGGAAATCTTGTCTCTGTTTATCCATAAAATAAAATGGGAATAATATGATTATTATGTCCTATGTCACAAAGTGGCTATATGAACCTAGGACTGAAAATGTTTCCAAGAAAAGAACTTCTGTGTAAACAGTCCGCCTTATGAATTTTTTTTTTTTTTGCCAGTATAATTGATGGACATTTTCTTTAGCAAATTAGGTAATGATGAGAAGAAATATAAATCAGGGTGCCTTGAGCTCCCCCTAATCTCTCTTGGATCTGATAGGATTTCATAGCTATATGATACATGAAATGAGGCTTTTCATTTACCTGTTCTTACATCTACCACTGAAACAACTGTGCTATCATAGTCAGTTTTCAGGCCCAGTCATACCACTACCCTTAAACTTGAAATTACTTTTAAATTTTTCCTTTTTTTTCTTTAATACTTACTGAATTGAGAAGGATGTTCAGATAGGAGGAACTGTTTTCTGTCTCGCAGCGTGAATATGATGTTTTAGGAGATTGAGATTATAATTCATGGTCTTATTTGGTTCCATGTTTTTTGTATCTAATTATAAAAAAGAAGGAAAAGCATATGAGGGAATCAAAAGCCCCATTTATACATTTATGCCATATGGAAAAGAAAATGAATGTTTCCAACAAGAGAAAAATAATTCTGCCAAGGTTTAAGCAAATTGCCTATAATCTCTAAATAATTTAAGCCTTCTATTCATACCTTTCCCAAAATACATTCTGCACTCCTGTACAAAGACAACATGAATAAAGCTAGTGCATAGAGTATTATGCCTTGGTCATAGCCTGCCTTTTCCTTACCATCTTTGAACCTTTCAATATTTTTGTCAAACTTGAGTCATTTGACTGTAGCCATGTGTAAGAAAATTATGGGTGTTTATAATATATAAATACTAAAGGCTAAGAAGTTTGCTCCCTTTGTTGTTGTTGTTGTTGTTGTTGTTTGTTGTCAGTTTTACTGGCTAACAACTGTATTGCATGTAGGATTTTATCTCCTCTGCAAAAGTACAGTGGTTGATATCACACTAACTTTGATACTCTTCCAGTCAGTTTGAGAGTCACCCAGCTAGATTTTTTTAAACACTTTATTGAAAAATAATTTACAGTTTTCCCAGTAGCCATTCCCCAATGCTTGTTTTTGTCAACTTTGTGAAAGATGAGCTGGTTGTAGGTCAGTGGCTTTATTTCTGAGTTATCAATTCTGCTTCATTGGCCTATGTATTTATTTTTGTACCAGTACCATGCTGTTTTGGTTATTGTAGCCTTGTTGGAAAGTTTGAAGTCAAGCAATGTGATGCCTCTGGCTTTGTTCTTTTCAGTTAGGATTGCTTTAGGTATTCAGGCTCTTTTTTGTTTCTGTATGAATTCAAATATTATTTTTTCTAGTTCTATGAAAAACAATGCTAGTAGTTTGATAGGAGTTTCATTGAATCTCTAGATTGCTTTAGGCAGTATGGACTTTTTTTTTGATATGCAAATAGTAATTTATTTGTTTCTTTTTTTTTTCATTAATCAGTATTTTTTATTATGGTTTTGTGGGGTACAGTTAAGGGTTAGGTGTACAATGACATTTCATTCAGGCACCCTGTATATAAGAAGTGTTTTCCCATCCCCCGACAGATATTTGCTACTGTTAATCCCATCCCCCTCCCCCCCATAGTTTCGCAGTACCATCCGTCATTTTCTCATAGTATTGCATTGGATGTTCAAGGTCCATTATATGAGTGAGAACATGTGATATTCGGATTTTTGTTTTTGTGAGAGGTCACTCAGTATTATAGACTCTAACCATATGCAGAATGAACTGGACCCCTAACTCTCATCATATATAAAAATTAAGATAGATTAACGATTTAAACATAAGCCCTCAAGCTACAAAAATCCTAGAAGAAAGCCTACAAAACACTATCTTGAACATCAGCCTAGGCAATGAATTCATGACCAAGCCCTCAAAAGTAAATACAACAAAAACCAAAATTGACAAGTGAGACCTAATTAAACTAAAAAGCTTCTGCACAGCAAAAGAAACCATCAACAGAGTAAGTAGGCAACCTATAGAATGGGAGAAAATTATTTGCAAACTATGCATCTGACAAAAGATTAATATTCAGAA